CGCGCGCGCGGACAAACAAAGAAAAGTTGCTATTGCTGGTCTGATTGCTGAGATTTCTGACTCTGGTTCTACTTTGCTGCGTTTCTGCATACGTACGTGACCTGCTGACAATGCATGTATGTCGTGTGCTTACCTGTGCCTAAGTCTGCGTCCCTGTGCTAACTCTGTTTTTCCGCGCTGTGTTTGTCTGCGTTAGGCAAGGGTAGATATAAGTGTAGACACCGGGATAGACCTGAAATTTGTGTACAGAGGGACTTACCAGAAATTCTACAAGGCTAGGGATAGTTGTGAAATTAACCTGGGACCCGGTGGGCATTTTCCAGCAACTCAGGTAGGACCAGTAGGCCTAGGCGAAAATCTGGCAGTTTCCAAACGGTCATGATGGTCCAGCACATGTAAATAGATAGATATAAAGTTAGATTCAAGCCCTGGAGGCAGACTGCAATGGTGTTCTCACCGAAAGGCTGGAAATTCCCGGTAGGCCATTGCACCAGTAGGGGCAGGAAGTACATAGAATATAGGTGCTAGAGTCCAAGAGTCATCAATGGATATATAGGTGCTAGAGTCCAAGAGTCATCAATGTATCCATTGATGCACTTGAGCAGGCTGGACAGGCACCCGGCAGTCTTGGTGCTGCTCCGCCAAGAAGATGAACAGGTGCACCACTGGGCAGTGAAGATAAGAGCTTGAGTGGGATGGTGCAGACCTCCCTGGCTATGATGGAGATGAGGGGGAGTGCCCAGCCTAATAGTAGTAGTAGGAGGAGGAGGAGCCCATACCAGGCTATGAAGTTAGCAGGAGGAGAGTGCCCATACCAGGCTATGAAGTTAGCAGGAGGAGAGTAGATGAAAGGAGGAGGGAGGAGGAGGGAACTGAGAGGAGGGCTCACCTTTGGCTATGGTCGGCCTTCATCTTCAGTTACGTGGTGCATGCGTAAGGCCGTTGGAGGGGATCCGATTGGACTTGGACTGCATCTGAGGTCACTGGCTATGGCCGTCGGAGAAGGGAGGCGCATAGGAGGTAGTTCCATCGAACAACCGAGCACGGCAAGGATGAGCTGCAATAGCTCTCAGCTCAGCAAGGTGGTGGAGGAGAAGAGAGGAGACTTCAAAGGGAGTTCTTTCCATCAAGGCAGTAAGGGGGGTGTATAAGACGTTGATTCTTGCTCTTTCATTCATGTATTGCTGTTGTTATTTCATAATAATAAAGAGAAGGACAATTTCACGAGGATGAGGATGACAACGACAGAGAGAGAATAAGGGAGGAAACATTGCATTACTCTTCTTCTTCTTTGCTAAATTCTCTTCTTTCTCTTCGTCCTTTCAACTGCTTCTTGATTAACAATGGATGGCATTGTCTTCATGAGGATGAAGATGACGATAGAGGGGAGAGAATAAGGGAGGAGACTTTTCTTCTTCTTCTTCTTCTTCTTCTTCTTCCTCCTCCTCCTCCTCTTCTTCTTTGCTAAATTATCTTCTTTCTCTTTGTCCTTTCCACTTCTTCTTGATTAACAATGGATGGCATTGTCTCCAAGTTCAGTATTTGCATCAAGAATGACGAAGAATCATAACACAGTCCAGATGCATCGTTTCATAGTCACAGGGTCATAACACGTACAGGACCAGTGAGCTTGTGAGGTTTCAATCAAATGCAGTGTGATTATGTGTGATGCTATCGGCCTGGCTCAGTTCGTACGCCTACCAATTGTCGAAACACAGACCTGAGTTCAAATTCCAATGGAATCAGAGGAGAAAAAGTATCTCTGAATTACCTGAGGCCGGTCAGTTCAAAGATATCTGAACGCCATTGCCCATGAACACCAACCCAAAAAGCTGCTGCACTCAGACAGATTCGCTGTCACCCATAGGTTGGCCAGTTCTTGCAGGCGAGAACTTTCAAAGGGAATGTGAGGCAAGGCTGTGGCAGATACAGTGCCAACCCACATGCACCCAATCTGCGGCAAGACGATAGCCGTGATGATGATTACAATGATCAACAACAAAAATGACGATGATGTTGATGAAGCCAACGATGACAGTAATCTCACCGACGATAACGTCAATGACGGTGATGTTAATGATGATGACGATGAAAATAATTTAATGGTGATAGCAACAACAATGGAAGCAATGGCAATGATGATGCTGACGGTGATGGAGGTGATGCCATGATGACAGCAACAACAGCAGCGATGATGATGATGAGGAGGAGGAGGGGGAGGAGGAGGCCAACGGCAAGGATGAGGACGTGGACAACAACAATGGTAGTAACATGACAAGGATAATGATGCTGACAACAACAATAATGAGAATAGTAATGATGGTGGCGGTGCTGATGGTGATTGCAATGGTGGCAATGGTGGTAGATTAGCACACCTGCATTGACCCTGTGTGCTGTGCTGGACAGGAGATACTACTGGCACAGACTGTTCAAAAAACGCGTCCTCGACAACCTACACAGTTCATGTCAAAATGAACCCCTTCCACTCGTTCATCGGAAGCCGAAAGAGCCACAGTCTTCCAATCGTCGCTTGATGGTGAGCATTCAGAAAGAAACTGCAGTATCCATAAGGGGAGAGGGAAGGAAACAGGGGAAAGTATATCAGAGGTGATGCTATGTGGTTAACACAAGCCTGAGGAGATATGGGACGGTGACAACTGGAAGCCAAATGAGCCATGCTTTCCCAATGAATGCCTGACAAAGGGCAGTCAATAAGATATTGCAATGTTCGGGTGAGAGAGGGAAGGAATGGACACCCACGGTATCTTTTTCTTCAAGGTGCCACCATATCAGAGCTGATGTTACATTACTAACACAATCCTGAGGAGAATTGCTGCACTTCGTGTTGCATGTCGTTCTAGAATTCAAGAGTAGAAGAGAGAGTACATGATACTATTGAGTGACATGACACACTCCTGAGGAGACATGGGAGGTGGCACCTCAAATCCGAAAGAAATGTCAGTTTCCCAATCATCGCCTGACAGAGAGCAGTAAGGAGGTAAGTCCAACATTGCAAGAAGGACAGAGAGGGAGAATGGAGTGGGGACCTGTGTAGGGTATCAAATGTCAAAACACTCCTCAGGAGATACTGGAGGTGGCACTGATGAGAACCCCATACCTTTTCGCACAGTTTCCATGCAAAATGCCTTAGAACAGCCCGATCCAGAGTATGGCCACCAACGCGATGGATCTCCCGGCAGCCTGTGAACAGGAAGGATAATGCATACGATGATGGCATCCCAGGTAGCGACATCCGCATCTCCACTGTTTCTGCTCCTTCCTCCTCTTGCTTCACTACCGTCTCTTCCCATCCCTGCCATTGAAAACCCACAGTCGATTTTTGAAAAAAATCATGAATTCAACATTCCATTCATCCATTCATTGGCAGCAAGCCTAGCATCGTTCGGTCAGACGGGAGTCACTCTCCCACAACTCTTGACAAATCACTTCAGACGTTTATGCTTGCCAGTGGATCAACAAAGGGACTGGTTTGTCCACGAGGTGTGACCTGCTGGTCCAGACTCCACAGGGCTTGGACCACTGGTCCACAAGGCTGGGACCACTGTTCCACAAGGCTTGGACCACTGGTCGACAAAGGTACTGGATTCATCCCCAGAGGTGTCCGCAATTGAGTCTCACTTCCACCACTCTCCAAATGTCAATAAAAGTCGGAAAATTGGCATAGTGTCATTTACGCATTTGGTCAGGGGGAAGACGGTAGTTCATCCAGAGAGGCATGGGTCATTGGTCCACAAGGCACTGGTTTGTTTTGTTGCACACATGTCTGCCCCAATGGTTCACTACCATGTTCACCCGAATAGAACGCCCGGTCATTATGGCTGTATCCAGACTGCATGTTGGCTCGAATACAGCTATAATGACCAGGCATTCTATGCGGTTGAAGACAGTGGGGTACTGATCTAAATTCCTTTACGATTGGGTTCCCGACGCTGAGATTTACATTTGGTACCAGGAGGTGATGAGTTGGTCCACAACAACATAACTTGGTCCAAAGGAACATACCTTGGTCACTGATCTATCCCAAAGAATTCCGTGTACGATTGGGTTCCCGACAGGGGCTGAGATGTACGCATGGTACCAAGTGCAATCAGACTCGCTTTCACTTCCACTTCACATACATGCAAACAGATGGGGATTCACACTGGCGCAGGGCGCCCACTCAAAGCTTTGAGATATGGAAATCAGGAACACAGTTCAGATGCACGTCCACTTCAACAGGCTATGGCGCATCGACGCCTGAACATCCCAACCTTCGTCACTCTGTCCAACCCCACTGTTCACACACGCTCACTCTGGATCACCCTGAATACCACCACACACACAC